TGGTGTAACAGTGAAGGATCACTAACAAAGCAAGATTGAACAGAAATTCTTGAAAGTGAGCTGTAGTTGACCACTGATTTCTCTGGAATAGGGAACAAGTCGAGAGCGGGAACAGGAGGAAGGTGAGACATTTTGCACCCCATGATACTTATCAACTGTGGCTCTTGGCTATTTCTTCTTTTCTTCCTCTCTTGCTTTCCATCACCTGCTCAGGCTTTCCTCATGCCTCTTTCTCTGAGCCCCTGGCTTGAAACGATATTACTGACAAGTCAATCTGGGACCACTGCCTATTGAACTGCATTTACCCAGTTGTGAATAGGTAGTCCCCTCCCCAGCCAGATTCAACTGAGGCCCGACGTCAAATGGCTCCACCAATTGAGCTGTAATAAAGGTGCTCAATAGGAGCCGAAGAGGCTGCCCACGTAATTGCCAAACCACACACACAGAAACACTTTTGCTTCTTATCTGCCACGACACAATGTTGTTGGGGTTATTAGCAGGACAGCTGGTTAGGGACACATTTTCTTTTTTCATTGATTTGCAAAGAGAGTTACCAAGACATTTTTAAAGAAGCAGCATGAATCAAACTGATTCCAACCCAGATTTAATTTTCGCATGCATCAAACGCTTAGTTTTTTATTAAACAGGGTGATTATGTTAAAAGACCAGCTCAGGGTATGCTTTGGAAAATAACTAATAATGTGCCATCTGAAGCAAATTCATGTTTACTACATGTGTGTACATTGTGACTTATAATAGACTTTCTTCAAAGTATGGCTCTGGATGTGTATTCATGCTCATCCTTTCCCAAACACTTTAGTCTGACACTGACAACTCTCCAGTTCACGTTGATACAACTTTACTTTTTGGTCCTCCTCCACACACAAACTCAAATGTACCTCCAAAGCAGAACTATTTTTCCTTTTGCTATGTTTTCTACAAATATTGTACAGGCAATCTCAAAATGAGTGATATCTTGCTACAGTAGATCTATCTGTATCCATTTTATTTGAATTTAGTATTGTGTATGTCAAATAAACCATCACAATTTGCAGCCAGATATAAATGAGATGCTGTAGGCTGCAGGGGTCATAGCAGTCAACACACTGTAGTATTAACCTGACTGACAGTATCAGAGATCCTCGCCCCAACATTCCAGTTCACTTCTGAAATGATGCCTCCTGGCTTAAAATGTAAATACTTTGTTTGTTTTTTTACATGTTATGCAGTTAAATTGGGAATAGTTTATTTTCTCGAACATTTATTTAACAATTACTGTGACATAGATGTGACCTTGACCACAACATCCACAGCTTCGGAAAGGTTGCCAGGGAGCAGTATGACAAGCTGGTGATAATGCACGGCAACATGGAGACGCTGTATCACAACATGCTGGAGTACTTTGCCATTGATCCCAAGAAGACCTCTGTTGAGGAGCTGTTCACTGATCTCAGCAACTTCCGTGCCATGTTCACTGTGAGTATACTGTGCTGCAGATTGACCTATAGTAAAAGTATTCAAAATTGTTTTCTGAACACGTTGTGTGGAAGGGAAGATTAACATATTACTGTTTATGTTCACATTACATTGAATTTAGCTGGGTTATCATTGTTGAGTTGATTCCAGTGGGATTGACAGTGCACGAATACAGAAAGAATGTGCTTAATTCAGCGTTAATCATGTGTTGCTAGTGATGTTACATGAATGTGTTAATGTGTATGCAATTTACTTAAAAAATCTGGCACCTAAAAACAACGACACTTTTTTAAAGATCTTGGAGTGGCAATTCATGTGGACCGGTGTTGCAAAATACCATTTTAAAAACGTGATCAAAAAATACTTTATGTTATTCTGCTTTACTTCCTATTTATCAGCAGTGACATTATATAACCTTTAACCATAATAAAGTTATGAACATGTTTGACTTTAAACTATTTTACTATTTGTACTTATTGGCTGTTAAAGACCAAACCTCAACGTCTTTTTGTGATTCTTACATCAGACCCCTGTGGTATAAAGCAAAGCAGCACAGTGCCAGTCCTCTGTAGTCCAGTCTCAGCCAGACATTTGTGTCATCCCTGGGCTCTGTGGCCTTATCAGTCTGGCTACTGAGAGCTGCAGAGCTGTGGAGACCCACTGTGTTTAATCAGCAGGATTAGTGGCACAGGCCACTGGGTGCTACAGATAATAGTAGCTAATTAGCCTACTAAAGTCCGCGCCCTGCCCCCCACTTAACATGTACCTCACACACACACAAATGGATTTCATGCCTCTTTTTCACCAGTTATGCCTTCACATTTATTGTAGTGCAAAACTGTACATTAGATTTGTTCAGCTAGGGTGGTTGTTGTGGTGGTTGTTGTGTGCCTAATGCAGACATTGTATGCATACTGTACAACATGTATTCTCTACAGTGGATCTGACAATAGCCACTTTTCAGACCAGATGCCTTACCACTAAAATAATTATCATTCTTTAGAAGATCAGTATTTTTTTAGGCTTTCCCGACATGATCCACTGGCTAAAATGATAATGTCCCATGATAAAGCCAACTGCTACCCAAAATAAAACCACATTAACAGAGTCAAGCTTTTACATAAGCAACTTTACTCAAAGCTACAGCTGTGAAGCTTTACAATAAACTGCACAACTTATATTATGAGTTTGCCAAATTCTCAAATATATTTGACAAATGAGATTATTATTTTAAAATTTAATTTCAAAAGGTATTTGGATCATCATGTTATTTGCCTATTTGTATGGCCACAGAAAGCTGGAAATGTCTCATCATTCAGTCCCTCTCCCATTATTTGTTGGTCAAATTCACGTACTAACACTTATATAATGATATACTGTATCATACCTGAGGCTAAAGTCACTATAGTATCTAAACAATCTTCACAGGCTCGAAGAAACAGAGGCAATCACACAACAAAGGTTCCCAGATGCTTTCCCTTTTCATATTTTTTTCCCTATTCTACTCATCCCATGACTTCTCTGGGGTGATTATTTTCCTCACTAGTAGCCAAAACACAGTTAATCACTGGTTGTGTTCCGAGATGAATCAGACCGAGAGTGAATGTTACCAAACTCAATATGTTTCATGCATTTGTTTAATGCCAGTTGATATTAATGAGAATAATCTAGTTGATATGCGATTGGCAGAATATTTACTCATTGTGCAGCTCTAATCCCTTTTTGTTTCAGCTCCATAGTTTAGGCTTGAGTTCAGCTGTAGTGTTTATGTTCCGCCCAAACACAACAGTTAATGACTGGGCCAGTGAAAGGTGAACAATCCAAGTGTTATAAAGACTAGCATTATATGTTCAAAACTCCAAAGGTAGCTATTTATTTCACTGCGATAGGTCAGAAATTCGTTCAAATGGTCACTTCAGACAGACATATCATTGACCAAGGCTAGGTCAATGATCGTAGGCATGCAATAAATCTCAGCTCCGTGACCTCTCGGTCAAATCTGTGTCAGCATTTACCTTGCTGTGCCAAGGCCCATGCTAATAGGTGTGTGCTGTCTATAGACCACTGCCTGAGGCAAACTAAGCCTGTGTGTGTGTGTGTGTGTGTGTGTGTGTGTGTGTGTGTGTGTGTGTGTGTGTGTGTGTGTGTGTGTGTTCTCTGTTAACAATTTTTATAGGGAGAGCTGCTTAGTTTTTTCACTCACAAATACGGGCACGCACACACACACACACACACACACGCACACGTACGTACAGCATGCTCAGTCACCCGTAGGAAGGAGACCCAGGGCGAGGCCGCACATCTGACAGGAATCCAATTGAGCGTGTCTAATGGCGGACATCCAGGAGAGGAGGAGGAGGAGGGGGGAAGCAGACCTGTAGTGATGAAGGAGAGTGGAGGGCAATTTCCTCAGATAGCTGGTTCTCTCTCTCTCCATCCTTCAGCTCTACATTACAGTGAAAATGGATGCTTTGTCATAAGGCAAAGATCACATGACTCTTCTTCTTTTTGTAGTTTCAGACTTTTCACTGTCAGTATCAAAATGTATAGTTTATTATTTTCAGTAGAAAAAGGATTCCCTTCAATGTTGGAAATGATGGATACGTATATTTTAGATTACCGTAATAATTCAGATTTAAAACAAACAACACCAGCCTTACCTCGGCTTTAATTAACAGTTTTATACTCAGTTATGTCCACACTGACTACTTTTGTCTTTGATCAGTCTAATATTGTTAGTTGGTTGTGTCATTTAAGAAGATAGAATGGCCCTTTGGTTTTAACAGCGATGTTTGGATGTGATTTACTGTTCTATTCTCTTTGTGTAGTTTAAGAGTGATCCTCTCTTAAACAGGCCCACTTGTTGTATTGACCCGTTATTGACTCATCATTGTTTTCCCGCTGCTGGCAGCAGTAAAGGGTCGGGTTTGAAATGAGATGTACTCTTTGCCTCTACAGAGCTCTTCAGTGTATCTGCATAGCTATATCATGGAAACCACCTGCCATTCCTTTTTTTTAGCTTTGATAGTATTGAACTTGGCATGGAAATGTCCATGGGTTTGTGGGTCAGACAGTCTGCCATTGCAGACCAGACTGAATTAACTCAAACTTTGACTTGGATTGTCATGACATTTTCTGCAGACAGTCATCATGGTCTCAATGTGTTGAACTTGACTGACTCTGGTGCCCTGACTTTTCCTCTTACGCTGCCATTAGATTGACATTGGCTGTATATTGATTGGATTGGCATGACACTTGATGAAATATATAAAGCCCCTAAAGGACTTATCCTTACAACTTTTGGTGGTCCATTGACATTTTATCATGCGCCACCAGCGTTGTACTTTTTCAGTGCAATATCTCAACTTCTACTTGATATATTAGCCCAAAACTGTGTACAAACAAATATAATCCTCAAATGATGGTGCTTGATTAATTTTTATTGATCTAATTACCATCATTAATGTGGTTAATGACTACACATTCCTGCAATACTACTGACTTTCCCATCATCCTCAATTGTACTTTGTGTAACGCTTAGTTCACATGCCAACACGCTAAACTATGATTGGGAACAATGTAAACCTCAGCATGTTAACATCATTGTCACTATGAGCATGTTAAGATGCTGGTGTTATCATTAGCTTCAAAGCACCATATTGTCACTGTATAGCTTTACAAAACAGCTAACATGGCTTTAGACTCTACTCTCTTAAAAAGATGGTCTGTTTATTATTTGCCAACATTTCTAACAAGTTGCATAACATTATAAAAACTTACTTTATTTTAAAGTTTACAAAAATATAGATGTTAAATTGAATGGATAATCCAATCTGTGAGGCTGTTGTAATCAGTTATTTTGAAAAGCGTTTGTGACGAGCGTAGCGATGGCTCTGTTTGGTTGTTATAGTGCAAGTATGTTTACATTCTGCTATGCTAATCAAATTTGACTTTTTAATCAGAGTGCTGCTTGATAGTGAAGAGGGGAAGGCCTGTCAGACTTTTGACCATGCTCACATTAAACGTCCGCCTCCGCTGAACACTAATCTGGGATACCTTAATTGTTCTTTATTGGAAATGCATTATGTGTCAGTACTTTTGTACTTCCCTTTTTTTCCTCATTCTTTCTGCCCATAATGTACCAAAGTGGATGCCCATTAAGAATATACTAATTTGTGAATCAGTGGTTCTCAGGAGCAACTCACAGTTTCATTACATTAAATCAAAGTACATTTTGTGGAGGAGTTGGTTTTATATATTTTTTTAAAAGAGCTGTGAACAGCCATTTGGTATTCATCTTCCTCTTCAGCGGCCTCCTCTTCCTTTGATTTTACATAAGCCTGTTGAGTGGCACACACCAGTTTCTTTAGCTTCTATTCTCTTTTTACGTGAGAGCGCTCAGATAAATGTTGTCTTTAATATATGTCTGGTAAGCTGCCAACAAAATGAAATGTCACTGTGGTCTGCATGAATAAGAACATAATATTCTCTCCAGTAAAAGATCAAGGTCACAGCGTGCGGATGTGCAGCATTTGATAGCATGGAGCATAGGAGGGATTTTGACTTCTTATTATGCAGCTTTACATGAACAAAGAGGATACGGGATACTGTGAATATAGTATACTGTTAAACACCAATTGTTCATTTGAGTTTTCATATCTCCATATTTCAATTGGCTTGGCGTTAGTTATTCAACTAAGGTGACCAGCTATTTTCTGGGTTGAAGAAAAACAGTATGTAACTGTTTAACCTTGACATAACAGCTTAATAAGTATGATGCTATACTGACTTGTAATAGGGGGAGGGGTGCCCGTGCTAATGCCAGGAGGTATAGACTATAAGCAACTTGCTTTATTTGGTGAAAAAGTCTTCTGGTTTTGACTCATTGTTATTGTGTGTCCTAATGGACAGCAAGCTAAAGTAACTAACCAATACCTGCTTCTAACTTTAGCTGCTACCGCTAGTTAGCTAGGGCAGGCAATATAGCCGGTTAGTCGCATTTGCAGGCGTACTTTATCTAGTGTTGTTGCACTTGCTTGATGTTTGGCTATAATCAAAGTTTTCAACTACTTTCAGATCATAAGCAATATCATAAGAAATGCATGTGTACATCTATACATATTTATGACTGAAGTGCACAAGGGAATAGCACTCTGCAGGGTTGCTAAATTGCACAATTACCAAATCGTACATTATTTACAAAATTCTCCTACAGTGGCAGGTAAAAGAGAGTCCCCTGGTCTCTTGTACGCAGACTTAATAACCGTCTTTCAGTGAGGCTCAGTAAGTGACTGCCTGTCTTTATCGTGCCTATGTCTTTTTTCAAGTACTACACAGTTTATTTTTGTAGTGAGTGTGTATTTATTTGGATCCATTAATGTTGGTGGCATTACTATTCTCCTACTGACCTGCCTGTCAAGCTGGGGTGTGTGAATAAAGCAAGAGGAGGGGAGACGAGGGGGAGGAGTTGGGTGTTTGATAAAAGCCCAGACTCCTTTTATTTAAGTGACTGGCTATTGATCAGGATGGCAATCATGCTAGCACTCTATTAAACCATATGCAGTTTGTCTCTTGGCTGTGGCATTATTGAGCTATCGACACTGTGGTATGAGTTTAACAACCCTGCAGCAAAGGGATTACAGAGCCTGAACCCACAGCGTTTGATGTATTGTAGATAGTATACCAACAATAAAGCAGGCAGGCATAGTAGAGAGGCGAAGTCCCGCCCTTCTACTTCCGCCCCATGGGACCTTATTTCGGAAAAATTATGTATTGAAGTCAATGGGGAGAGAAAGATTATCATTCAATCTCGTTTGAATTGTGCCACGAATTACACATATGATGTTTGTCAATCTTAAAAAATCATTTCCATGTCAAAATAGTCAGTTTGTCGTAAAACTGTTGAAATATAAGACTATGAAAAATACGCAACTAGAAAGACTACAAATCCCAGAGTCGCGTAAGTGATGTCATTAACGTTACACATTACACTCATGTTACTCACCGAAACCTTGTAAAGCCGGTCCCGCATGCTGGCTCTTACGGAACCGACTAACTTCCCTTTTGTGTATGTACAGCTCTCAACATGCCCAGACTTGTAGTGATTTTCACCTCTTTTAATACTTTTCGCCTCATTCTGAAAGAAAGAGGTGAAATGTGCTAACGTGACGGCCATCTTGGTGTTGGTGACGTGTGTGAGACCAGAGATGTAGTTCATTGAGCGTTTCACACAAAAAAAATTGTTATTTCACAGTTTTACGACACATTTTAATTTTTTTGACTTGAACAAATATACATATTGGCTTCACCAGGTCAGCAATAGGAAAAGCCATTTATTTTTCAGGACTTAAAATATCAACCAACAATGTCTTATAGCAACATATACTGCTCGCTCTTTCAGTCTAAATAATTACATTTAAACAATAAATAACATGCAATGCTAAAATCATTTTTGGGTCATCAAAAATACATTAGATGAGGAAAGATTATGGCCAAAAAACTGAAAAGACGCTGTACATTTGAAACGGGGATAAAAAGGTAAAAGTGACAACCGAAAACACATCACCTCGCAGACCCTCTGTTTATCCGGTGTCTGAATTCATCTTCGTCAAGTCGTTTTGTGCCTGGCAAGACCAGGCTGATATCCACCTTGGAAGCTTCATCTGACTTAATGGTGCCTGATAATGATGTCTTTAGTGTTTGACAGCTGCCTCTGCCTTTGACAGGCTCTATACTACTGTAATTAACCCCAGTTAGCAATTGGTCTTGTTTTTTTCTTTACTTCTGTCTTTGCTCATCTTACTTCCTCCCTCTCCCCACAGCAAGCTCTAAAGGATAACCTGAAGCGGAGAGAAACGGAGGAGAAGCAGAGGAGAGCACGTGCAGCGAAGGAGAAAGCTGAGCGTGAGAAGCAAGAGAGACAGCAGAAGAAGAGGAGGCTGCTGGAAGTCAATGGAGGTAGAGATCGTTCATTCTTCTTTGCCAGTCAACTCATGCATCGTCAAGCGCTTTACAGAGAGCCATCTGCTAAATCAATACAGTGTCAAATGGTGCAAGAGATCAATCAAAGACAATGGCTGTCATTTATCAGGCAAACATAAGCACCATTTTAATGAATTATAGGAGACACCTTTTTTCTCACAATTCAGTTTTTCTTTTAGAAAGTTAAAACTCACAAAGTCATTTGTGTTTATATGTGATTGATTGGCAAGCAGTTAAGTATTGTTTGAAATAATTGAATACAAAATTACTGGTTGCCTGATTGAAAGAGAATGTCAAAAAAGTATTTTGAAGAATATGTCACTCCTAACACATCTCCATTAAATGATTAGTTTCAACTTATTATTTCTGACCAATTCATCTTTCAAATGTAGTTTACTACTTTTTGAAAAGCACACATTACCTTGCACTACATAGCAACACACTGTGTTGTGTATTCTGTTTTATGAAGGTAATATCCACATTGTGTTTATATAATAATACTTTAACAACCCTGTGTTCTTGACGTTTAGAATTTTGCAGATTTCAACCGTGGAGATTAAAAGGTATTATGATTGATTGATTGGTTATTGATCCACGTACGGACGTTCACCTTGACCTTTCTCTGCAAGTCAGATCACAAGTTACATGACAAATGACCAGTGTTGTGCTAGTTACTGAAAACCAGTAACTAGTTACCATTACTAGTTACTTCATTTCAAAAGTAACTCAGTTACTTTACTGATTACTTTCACCAAAAAGTAATGCGTTGTTACTTAAAAAAAGGGCTCCCATTAATGCCCTTATAGCCTTCATTTCAGTACTGTTATTGCATTGGAGAATAATACAATCTGTTGATCAAGAAATAGCAATAGAAATAGTAGAAATAGCCTGCATGTGTTCTACAACATACCGTGCAATGGCTTTATCAACTTTTCCCTGGCTAGCAGTCCCTCGGTTCAAATCCAGCCGCTGTTGCTTAGGTGGAGGTGGAGTGACGTTGGATGAGTCTTGGGTCTGTGGTCTTAGCTAGGCTACTAGCTTCGTCCCAGCATGTTGTTTCTGCAGATGTTTCAACAGATTTGAATTGCTGTTTTGGGCAGTAGATAGGATCTTTGACCCGCCAAGACACAACTTACATTTAACTAAAACGTTATTTTCTTTGTGCTCGACAAAAGTGAAATAGTGAGAATATCTCCAGGCGGAGAAACTCGACTTGAGCTCCGCTGCCGCGATGATAGTCTTGTTAGTAAACACACAAACACGCCCACAGCGCGTCTCCGCATGTGACACAGGAAGTATCTAAGTACATTTACTCAAGTACTGTACTTAAGTACAGTTCTCATCTCTGTTCGCCTCGCTGTTGGCGCCGCTCACCAACATCTGGGAGCCGAGACTATATAAAAAAAATAACGGAGTAACGCACCATGTAGTAACGGTAACTGAGTTACTGAATTAAAAAAATAATGCGTTAGAGTAATAGTTACTGCCAAAAATAACGGCGTTACTTTGTAACGCGTTAGTCCCAACACTGCAAATGACAAGGATCGATGATTACTGAAATTCATCCAGGTCTATTGGTTCAAGGACAGCCTCAAAAACCACATTGCATCCAGTCAGTGAGTTACTCTTCATGAGAGAGAAGAGCATCATGCCAGTTTATGAAGGGTGATGGTTAATTCTGTATTAATTGAATACGTCTACACTCACAATGTATATATCAATACATATTACATAAAATATTGACATTACATGTTTAACCGCACAGGTCTTGAACTAAAGCAACAAGCTACATTGTTTTTATCCAGCTGCCTGTTGTAATAGCAATGCAGCCAAATGATGCGTTGAGAATGATCTGCCTAAAGACAAATCTACTGGCCTAATCAATTGAGTTCAAAAATCAGTCACAAAATATGTGGAAAAGCAATCAGTCTCAAGTTGGGACATTTTAATAAGGTACCAACAACTAAAATTAACATTTCAGACTGTGTCAACAAGCCCTTACAAGAATTTCATCTAATGAATCAGGGGCTCTTTTTTTGTAAGGAGGTTTCTGGCATCACATTGTGGAGGTAACCAGCAGAACAGTTGATCCTGGCTCATGTTTGTGGGCAGCAATACGATATCCCCCCCCACAACGGAGTGTTGCAGAATAAAGAGCAGTTTCCTTGTAGATTCCTGTATTGTGTAATGACGTGTAGTACTCTTCAATAGTAATTTCTAAAGATATAATTGGCATGGTTTGTTGGCAAAGCATGCTTGCATCTTGTCAGCAATTGTTTTAGGTAGTGTATTAAAAAAGTTTTTTCTCTAAAGCTATCCATTGCTTTGGTGCTCAGATATAACGTAGCTCGAATGATAACTCTTTTTTACCAAGCAGGTTCAGACATTACTATAAGGAAATAACGCGTCTATCTTATGCCAGAGCATCTGGTTCTGGCTGCCAGTAGTTTTATATGTGTTTGTCCTTCTCCTTTGGAGAACTACCAATGCCATTAACTTGCTCAACAGTGCAGCCTCCAGAACCTTTTCCAATGCCAAAGCCATGGCTGACAGTGAGCTTGGCAATTGTAGCCCTGCACTAGCATCTATAGCTAACAGGACTATGCCAGCCAGTGCAGAACTCCTGTACATGTTAGAGTTCAAGTAGAGAACCACCATGCTCCATCCAGGACAAAGTACTGCTGTGGGCACACTACCTAGCCAAACCAAGGTCTCTTTTAGCTACATCATAATCCAAACCTTTCCCTGTTCCCTTCTCTCTCGTCTGGACATCCCTCAATTATCATCCTTTGCCAATGAGCAGAGTTAAACAGTGCTGGACTCATCCATATGATGAGGCATGTTAAATTGAAAATAATTTATGGGATCTGGTTATGTAATGTGTGTCAATACATTAGCATGAGCTGTATGTCACCCTCTGTCATGGTTATTACAACTTATTGAGAGTAAACGGTCTGCAGATAAAAACACCACGCATGACTCAGTTTCTGCATTGGCAGACACAATATTTGGAGAAGGTGTTCCTACTGTACTCGTAACATAAACTTTCATTTTAGAATAATGAACAAAGATATCCAAGTTTAAGTCAGATTTGTTTATGTGGATTCCTTCCCTATCAATTTGCTCTTTTTTCCCCTTTATTTTATTCATCCAAATACAACAAATGTGTGTGAGAGACAGAGGGGAAGATGTGCAGTGCCTTTTAAATACATGTGTACCCTATGGTCTGCTATTATTAATGCAGTATCTGCTGTATCACCACACACAAACACAAATCCCCAGCAGGAAGCATGTTGCTGGCAGCATCATGCTGTGGTTAAGCTTCACTGCAGAAGGCCCTGGATGGTGGAGAGTAAAATGAATGCATTAGACAGTAGAGGAATCCTGAAAACAGAACCTTACTGCATTATTTAAAAAAAACCTGTGACTGAGGAAGCAATTTAATTTCCCGCAAAACTGGCTTAAAAACAACAAGGCTGATGCCCGGAAGTGAACTAATCACTATCCAAAGCAAAATAAAATAAGAAAATGTGTGTAACATGGAACAAATAGTCTGAGCAGTTTTGTTCTGATTTGTGTTGTAAACTAAGAAAAGGGACTTCATTTATATCGTCACTGTACTGTATATAGTTAGCACATGTTAATGGTTTGTGTGTGAAGTTAGTTAATCTCTCAAATCGACAGCATCAATGTCTTTCCTCTGCGTGTGTGAGTTGAGTTTCTTGCAGACTTATTTTTGAGAAAAAGTAGTTCAGAAATATGAAAATTATGAGAATAAACTTCCGCCAAATTTGTCAGAAAGACTTATACAAATATGCCTAGAGCTTGAAATGTATTTAGATACGCTCAAATTAAGATAAAGCTAAAGGCAAACTCAATGACATCCCCGGGTAGTGATGTTTCTGGCAATGGATGACACACGCGCGAACATACAGTACACACAGATTCTCAGGATGAATATGTGATAGAGATTTGGCATTGTGCTGCAGACGCAGGACAGGATTTACTCTCTCTCTCTCTCTATTTCTCTCTCTCACACACACACACACACACACACACACACACACACACACACACACACACACACACACACACACGCACACTTTCACTCTGTCTGTCAGCCTATTTATTAACTAAAGAGCTTTCTCTTTGTTTGTCAGGGAGGATTGTCCTCAATGGAGATTTTCTGTGTAATCATCTGATTATCCATCAATTCCCTAAAAAGCCCCAGAGAGGCTGCATATCCACATTATGCTGAAGGGCACACCAATAAGACACAGGGGTAGGTAGGGGGGAGGGCTTCCTGGAGGAACTGATCATAATAGATGTTTAGCTTCTTTACTTTCTGCAGGTATCTGCATGTAGGTTGGTTTTTAGCTTTGCCTACTTTTATTTTCCTGAAATATGAGCTTCTCCCAATTTCCTACTCTTTCCATTGGTCTCTTCTGTGTACCACATACCGGGCTTCTGCCTACACATTCATAGGCAGCATGGCTTCGTCATCTGTATGTGTTCTGGCAGTCTGAGAGAGGGTAGGCATCAGCTTGCCTCCATTTGCATAGAGCCCTATGGAGATTGAAATGCAGATTGAATAGGTGTTTTTCCTCCTCCTCTAGCTGTGCCTGGCTTGTGTATGACAAATCTGTTGCATTAACTCCCAGGGTAGGCCGGGAGCGGGAATGTTTGTGGAGCGACAAATTACACATCAGAGCTTTATTTAACATTCCCTACATGGCTACAAGCGATGAACTATTAAGACGTCAAATGAAAGAACAGCTAGAGATGCAACTCGGCATGGAAAGATGCTAAAAGGATAGGAGGGGCGTGAGAGAGAGAGAGATGGGGGAAGAAAAACATGTGAAGATTGTATAAGCTACTGTATGTTATCTTGAGCTGTAGATACTAAAGGCAACATATTGCTCCCTTATATCATTACATTTAATTTTGGGGACCCTTTTATCAGCAATATGGGTTTT